GTCCGAGCACAGGATCTGTGAATTAGCCTTGTAATTAACCTTTAACTGTGTGCTGGTGCAGAGAGAGAGCACACACTGTAAATAAAATGTCATTAAGACAGACAGACTCTTTGTTGGGATTAGACTTTTCTGTTAAAACTCTCTCTTTCTAGTTTCAAGTAGATACTTGGAAGAGGCCTTAGATAATCGATCACAGATTTTCTTCCGCAGCAGTGATATGAAGTCTGAGACCGTCATTGTTTATCTCTTTGTCGTCATTGTTTGCCAGTCGCTCCTGGTTCTAACAGGACACCAATGGCTCACAATCAATGTCTCATAAATAAAGTCACAGAGCGCAGCTTGTGAGTAATCTTCCAGTGGGTGGATCGTGTTCCTGCTGATAGAATATTAGTCAGTTTGACTGATTATGTAAACTGTACCACAGAAACACAGATAGTGATGACCACCACTAGCTTGATGTATTCATCCCCAGAAATCACAGGATAATTATGTTCCCCTTCCCTGTGGACTCAGATGTCCACATGTGGACAGCTGGCCCAGTCAGAAGCTCTGTGGACATTTTCAAAGGCTATTTCTGAGTTTTGATTTGAATAAATTGGCATAAAAGTAAATCGCATTGTATGAATGATCAGGGTTAGGTTTGAATGAAGAAAAAAAGTGTTAACATGTCAGGGTGCTATATAGCCTATTATTAAGGTGTCAAATTTCATTCATGAAAATTTTACAAAACGTTTTAGCTGTGAATCCTAAACTGTGTCAAACAGTCCACATTTTCACAGAGGAAACCCCATTCATTTCAAATCAAGCTGATACACTTTATTCATTCCTAGTGGGAGGGAAGAGAATTACAGTAGATGTAGTATAATGGAACAGAAGAAATGTGTTTTTCATTACCTTTGTTCAGATATGAAGATGAATGGTCTCTTTGCTTTCTTTTGTGATGCAGCTGTATACCAACTGCAGGTGTATATCTGGGAGCCAGGGTCAAGCCAGTCCAGCTCCCTGCTCCAACAGCTGCCCTCATTTACTTCTCCCAGTCATCCTCGTCATCTCTCTGGCATCACTCGTCGCCTGCTTCACTCATAACCCCATGTACATGATGGTGCTTAGGTAGGAAACATATTACAATTTACTGTACACACATATACATCTGTTAAATATTTATGTTCAAAAATACGTTTAAAGTTACTAGTATTGATTTAACAGATGTTAAAATACAATTTGCTTCCCTCCTGTTCAGATTTTTATGAATGATTTTATGAATTTTCAAATTTCAATCTAGTTGCCCACAAATACTGAATGTCAATGATTTATTATCTTCTTTTGTTTTTAATTATCTTTCTGTTAAATTATCAAAATCTGACCTCAAATCCGTCTCCCTATTTTATATTCAGATTCTTAAAACGAATCAGAGAAACCCTGAGCTGCTGTTGTCTGTCAGGCAACTCTAAAAAGTCAAATACCAAATTTAAATAGAATCACACTCCTCCAAGGCCTCACCGTGTTTGCATAAACAAACCATCCAACAAACAAAAGGATTGGTTAAAGTAAATTAACATAATATAGGTCCTCAATGTAGGAGAACTAAGAATGAATGGAAAACAAACAGACTGCCACACAAGCTGGGAAGAAAAGTTTACAAAGTTGCTTCAACAGATTTATTCTGGGATTTTAAACAAATTATTTGCAAAAGTGGGTTTTTAATTCAAGACTGACATAAGAACCCACACATCACTGTCATATATGTCCAGTGGGATATTCTATAGTGAGTAGAAAACAGTAAAAAAAATGCTGGTATTGACCTTTTCATTTATTTTCATGTTCATTTCAGATCTGTTCCCTCTGAAGAGAAGTCGTTTGCTATAGGAATCCAGTTTTTACTCATGAGAGTATTAGGT